GGGGGGGTCAATGGTGGTGGTGCTCAGGGTTTACTCTTGGCTCTGCTCCTCATAGTGCTTTGGGACTGTATGGGATGCAGGTGATAAACCCAGGTTGGTCACATACAAGGCAACAAGACAAACGCCCTACATGCTGTACTATTTGTATGATTGTTCTGGCATCAAGGGAATTTGTCCATTCTCAAAACAGTGTGATAGCTGGAACCGTGCCTGCCTTGCTTATGTAAAAGGTACTTCCCATCTACTTGGCAAAGAGTTAGTAGTACTGATGCTACTATAGATACATACACTTTCTTCCATCTGAATTCTCTAAATCCAACACCACAGAAAGAGAAAGAGCACTCTCTGATGAAAATAACTGGGTATTTTATATAGATTTGTTATAGCTCTAAATGTACGCTTAACAAAAGTCAATAAGGTCCAAAATGACATTAAGAGCTTACTACATCCTAAAGTTAAAGATTAGGACATTATTTTAAACGTTTTTATTTATAGTTACAGTAGTTTATATTTATTTGTTATGTTACAGAGATCTATAGTATTCATCTTACATTTCAATAAACCTTGATATGACCATATACTGTGATGCATGTTTTGATTTTTTTCTTGTTTTCCCTAATTTTATTTTTATTATGAGCCATTATCATCACTCATAGAAATCTATATTTGATGATAAGTTACAAAGTTTGTTATTTATACATGCATTTTTCTTATATCTGTCATTTTTTCTTATATTATATTTGACCCTATATAATATATAATATAATCGATTTGCTCGAGCAGGCCCAGTAACGTCTCCATCGTGAGACTTTGTTGTTACTGTGTTTGGCATATCGAGTACGTCACGGGGCGCTTGCCTGGCTCTGCCGTGCCGGCGAGATACTCTCGGTAGCTTGCTGGGCTCTCCGAGAGGGGCGGAGGAATCGAACTTGGGTCAGCCATGTTGACTGCGTGCAAGGCGAATGCCCTACCCGCTGTGCTATCGCTCCAGTCCCATATAATATAATCTATAATATAATTTCTTATATTTATATTTGACATTCTTATATCTTTGCATTATTGCAAAGAAAATATTCATCCATTTTATTGTTTTTTTCACTTCTGGATTCACTCTCCCCAACTCCTGGCCCCTTGCTCTTTCATCTGACAATAACAACGAAAAGTATGTTGAAGATATTGACCACTCGGGGGTCTCTCGGGGGCCTTTCTAACATATTTCAGACATTTATTATGCCAAATAAAGTAGATGAAAGTCAGAAGTTCGAATCTTGCCCTGCAAAGCCACCTTTTGTGTAAGGAAAGAATCAGGCTTCAATTTTTGTGATCAATCTGATACCAGTAACATCAAGAGATACAACTACTGGTCTTTTGTCCTAAAACTGTATTTTCAGTTTATTCTGTCAAAATAAAGTCTGTATAGGTTCCTATTGCCTGTTGCTATAAACAACTACTATCACAAACGTCATAACTAGAAAATAATAAAGCATTAACCTGATCTGACCCTGAATAGGGTTTATTGCCATAGTGATAAAGATTTAAACAGGCAGCTAGACCAGGAGCTAATGAATGGTAAAAGGACTCCCTATTTCCAAGAAGGCAAGGAAGAGTAACAGAATGGGGGACAAAGACAGATTCCCAGGTCCTGAGAATGGAAAGAAATCTGCAGGTTTTTCTGGTTTGTGAATGATAATCATTTACCTGAAGAAACCTGGGCAGAGAACTGAAGCTCCATTAGTATATTTTAAAACATAGCTAAAGGGTCCCCGTGGCTAAGAAGACTCCTCATTTCTAAAATATGGAAATAAAAGTGTGATTTTTGGATTTTTTTAAATTCTAAAATGTATGACAATAGAAGGGCTTCAACTTATTCTGTATTATTCTGAGTTATAGAACATAAAAAAAGCTGAGAAGACATTCTATTCATATAATTCTACCTTAGTGATAGCCAATCAGCTGTATGACTGAATTTCTTTACACAATCAGATTGTTTATTAATCAAAAGGCAAATTTCAGACTCACTGAATAAGATTCTTGCACTATGTGAAATATGTCTTTACCTGCTCAGATTCTGTCATGATATAAATTTTGATAAGCAGATACATAAATTTTGATAAAAGAATAGCCTCTAATTTTTGCTAAAATTGATTCTACTGAATGAATGTTAACAAATGTATCAAGCATACTGAATGTAATAAAGGAATTTAGACAAGTGGGAAGGTTTCGATGGGCGCTATTTTGGAAAACAGCATGGAAGGTTCTCAGTAAATTCAGAATTGAGCTGTGATACAAGCCAAAAATTTCACTTTTGAGTATCTATCCCAGGACAGAAAAACATTCATTCAAAAGGATATATCTACACCATTATTGATTGCAGCACTCAGTACAATAACTAAGAGATGGAATCAACCTAGATGTCTAGTGACAGATAAGTGAATTGTGAAGATGCGGTATGTCTATACAACAGAATACTAAACAGCTATAAGAAATGAAGCAATTTGTTGGGTCAAATGGGAGCTCAATTTCTAATTTTTTGAGAATCGTCCATACTGTTTTCCAAAAGGACTGATACCACTCCTGGGAATATATCCCAGAGAGGCAAAAAAGTATAGTCGAAGTGACATCTACACTTGTTTGTTCATTGCAACACTCTTTTTTTAAAATTTTTTTTATTTTTTATTTGTTTTATTATTAGTGAAACACCATGAGATACAGTTGTAGATTTACAATTTTTTTGTGCTTGGGTTTTGATTATACAATGATCAAATGCCCATCCCTCCGCCAGTGCCCATTTTCCACCACCATGGATAGTATCCCTCCCAGCCCCATCCCTCCCATCCCAACCTGCTTCTGTGACAGGGCAATCCCTTGTGTTCTCTCTCTCCTTTTGGGTTTTGTGGTCTGCAAAAGAGGCTTTGAGTGGCAAACATGTTCAATCCATAGTCTACTTTCAACATGCATCTCCCCTCCTGGGAGGATTCTCCAAACATCCTTTATTTGGTGCTCCCTTCTCTATCTGAGCTGCCCTTTCCCCTAGAATGCCCGGCTGGCCTCTAAGCTATGGAGTAATCCTCCTGGTGTGCAGCACTCTTTACAATAGCCAGAATCTGGAAAAAACCTGAGTGCCTGAGAACAGATGACTGGTTAAAGAAACTTTGGTACATTTACACGATGGAGTACTATGTAGCTGTTAGAAAAGACAAGTCATGAAATTTACATACAAGTAGTACTACATGGAAAGTATCATGTTAAGCGAAATGAGTCAGAAAGAGAGGGATAGATGTAGAAAGATTGCATTCATCTAGGGAACATAAAGTAACAAAATAGGAGACTAACACCCAGAATGGCCGAGATTAGTACCAGGAATTTTGCTCCATGGTTTGGAGCTAGCCACACATGCTAGGGGAAAAGGGAGCTCAGATAGAGAAGGGAGCACCAAATAAAGGGTGTTGGGAGGATCCTCCCAGGATGGGAGAAGCATGCTGAAAGTAGACTATAGAACAAACATGATTGCCTCTTTTGCAAACCATCATTGCCTCTTTTGCAAACCACAACATCCAAAAGAAGAGAGAGAACAAAAGGGAATGCCCTGCCACAGAGGCAGGGTAGGAGGGGGGAGATTGGGGGGTGGGAAGAATGCTGGGATCTGTGGTGGTGGGAAATGGGCACTGGTGGAGGGATGGGTATTTGATCATTGTATAATTGAAACCCAAGCACAAAAATTTGTAAGTCTACAACTGTACCTCATGGTGTCTCACTAATAAAAATTTTAAAAAAATGACAGACATAACCATAATAAAAATAAAAAGACAATAAAAGTAAAAAAAAGAAATGAAGCAATTTGTTGCATTTTGTTGTAACATGGACGGACTTGGAAGATATGATGTTAAATGAAGAAAGCCAGAAAAAGAATGATACACACAGGATAGCTCTTATATGTGGTATCTGGAATAACTGGGATGGAGGAATGTAATAGTTTAAAGGAGGGATGCCTAGAATGTCACATTGGTCACAGAGTCTAGGGAAATGAAGTAAAGGGGGGGCGGGGGAGGGAAAGAGACAGATGAGAAGCAAAGGGGGCCAGAAGTCAAGGCAATTCAGGCACATGGATGGTGTTAGGAATGACAGAGTTAAATATACAAACCACAGACTCAACAACACTGAAATAATGAGACCCAAACTTTAGCAACTGAGCTGGAAAAGGTGCCTGTCAAGAGGGGCAACTGGGATGGAGGGTGCGGTGAACAGGGGACGGAACCTGGGACACTGGTGGAGGGAAATTCACTCTGGTGGGGAGATCAGTGCTGGAACACTGGGTATCTAAATCTCAACTACGAATAACTTTGTAACTCATGGTGCTTTGATGAAATTAAAAAAATTTAAAAGAATAATTTTTCCTTATAAAAACAGCATTAATAAAACCCCAAAACTCTAAAACTGGTTGCCTGTTCTACCACTGATTTTAAAAAATCAGTGCTCCAAATAATTTATATATACACAGCTACAAGACTCATAGGGTTGTGTAATTTAACGAAATTTTTATGTATGAGCCAGGGCGATAGTAAAGCAGGTAGGACATTTGCCTTGCATGTAGCAGACCTTGGTTCAATTCCCCGCATCCCATATATGGTCTCCTGAGCAATGCCAGGACTAATTCCTGAGTGCAGAGCCAGGAGTAACTCTTGAGTATCACTAGGTGTGACCCAAAAAGCAAAATAATAATAAATTAAAAAATCTTTAAAAAATCTTTAAAAAATTAAATGTTTATATGTAGCACTGTAGCACTGTCCTCTTGTTGTTCATCAATTTGCTCGAGCAGGCACCAGTAACGACTTCATTGTGAGACTCGTTGTTACTATTTTTGGCATATGGAACATGTCACTGGGTGATTGCCAGGCTCTGTCGTGCGGGCAGGATACTCTTGGTGGCTTGCTGGGCTCTCCAAGAGGGACAAAGGAATTGAAAGCAGGTTGGCCGCGTGCAAGGCAAATGCCCTACCCACTGTGCTATCGCTTTGGCAGCACATATACTAAAATTGGAACGATACAGAGAAGATTAGCATGGCCACTGTGCAAGAATGACACGCAAAATGTTTATATATGTAAAAAATAGTCATTAAATTAAAAAATCTTAGTTACTTCATCACGTTTGTAGTCTCAAGTCTTATGTTCAAAACCTGCATGGGACAGCTGAGAGGAAATTCATGGAGGAAGCAGATCACTCAGAAACTCCTTGTCCGTACTCATTCATTGCTCTATGCCTTTTTGTTTGGATGGAAGAGAAGTCTTCTACATTCAAAGAATAATTCTTTCAACTCAGCACCAGTTTTACCCTTTCTTGTACAAATTTGCAACGCTTAATTCAAGACGCCCTATTATTAACTTTTCTGAATGAGGCATACAAAGTAATAGAAAAATAAATAGGTGAATTGAAGTAGCATGATGATATAAATGATAAACTCTCGAATAGTAAGGAAAGAGCAATGTTATCAGCTAATGATATTAGTGACCACCTTACTGCTTGAGGAATTAATGATATAAAACTAAGGACAAAGGTTGTTTCTCTTTTCTATACCTAGGGCAGAAGGTAAAAATTAGTTTTTTTAATATTGAAAGGATTTAATGGGAATTAGTAGGCTTACCCCAAGAGTGCTCACATTTACCTAAAGACAATTTTATTGCTTTCCATCTTACAACATTTGGTAGTTCAGAACATTCCTGCCTATATTCCTATGTTGGAACTATTATCCACACAGATTATGGAGACCTCACCATTTATCTAGTCTAATTTGTTATTCAGCTACCTGACTTGCAGTTTTATGGGAGCACTCGATTTTATCAACTGAAAAACGAAAACAAAATTTCAGAAAACAGCTATAAGATTTAAGTTAGATTATATATTCATGAGACACTGAAAATTCAAAAGAGCATTCTGAATGCCAGGAAATCCTTTGAATGTTTCAAAAGTAGACAATAAGATTGTCTTTGAAAATCTAGTAAATGTTAATAGATTTGCTATGGTTTGCACTTACTGACTTCTAATACTCAGATCATTGCTTTTGTTTTAATTCAAGGAAGTAGCTTCTCCCCCATATTTTCTTTGTTACAACATGCTGAATATCTGGATATGCAACTTGTTCTTACATGAACAAAAAAGAAGAAAATACAGTTTATTCTTGGTATCCATTAGTAACATCTTAGTAACTCTCTTCTTAAAACCCTTTATTTGATAATGTTATTAAAATAAAAATAGACCTAAAAGTCACATAATTTTTAAATGTTTCATAATTCTGATTATAAAAGAATAGTTATCTTTGCCACTCTTTAATAGCATCTTATACAAATTAAAATTTCATTTCTGACATATTTTAAACTTGTGATTCACTATGGCTCTTATAATCTTACTTGCTTTTCAACATTTCCATCATAACACATGGCTTAAGTATTTTTTTCTAAAATTTAATACCTAGTGATTTCATTTAATTTTACTTTATTTATGATCATCCATCCTACTTATCAAGAATACAATTAGCTCTAATCTTATATTTTAAGATTATGATTCCCTTTGGATTTTTAGATGATCTGCAAATTTAATGAACCTGCTTATTATTTTCTCATTCCTGTCACTGGTAGAACTGTGCAGAAAGAACCACAGGGAGTAAGAAGAGCAAATGCAAATACAGGCAAATCATTTCATTTACCTAAAATGATAAATTTGGGTCTAGGTTCTAAAAAAATTAATTTAACTATATTATGAATGGCTTTGAGGTACGTACTCATTTATTGAATTGACCTTTACTAAATATCATCGATGTGTCACATATTTTGCTTTGTGCACTGGAAATTTCAAATAAAAAGGAAATGCCATAGATTCACTTTCATGAAGTATAGACTTTATTGAGAGGTAATTTGTAAACCTAGAAAAATAATACAAGATATCACAGATGTGTGCCATAATGCCAGAAGAAGGCATGAAACGGAAAACCTGTTGATAAAGTCACCTCAGTTTTCTTGGGAAGAAAAGGGATTCACCAACTGTTTTTTTTCTTTTTGGGTCACACCCGGTGATGCACAGGGGTTACTCCTGGCTCATGTACTCAGGAATTACTACTGGTGGTACTCGGGGGACCATATAGGATGCTGGGAATTGAACTTGGCCGCGTGCAAGGTAAATGCCCTACCCGCTGTGCCAATACTCCAGCCCCTCACCAACTTTCTTAGCGATGTTACAGTTGAAGTAGAATTTCAGAAGAAAAGGGCACATTATATTTCTGCACTGGGAGATGAAGAGATAGCGGGTACTAATGCACTCTCTTGCCTCATTCACATAATTGAGAAAAACATATGAAATAATGGTGACAGTGGAAATAGGTCACACTGGATGGCGAATCCTAGAGGGGAGAAACAGATTCTTATTTCAACTCCTACTTACTGCCTGAAGATAGAAGGGGAAGGGGTATTTAAAGAGTTCCATTCAGTTCTGCCTAAACTTAAGTGATTGAGTTGAGATTTACTAAGAATAAGATGGATAAAATTTGCAGGTAGTACTGAAAATTTGTCAACTGGAACTCTGTGTGTGTGTATGTGTGTGTGTGCATGTGTGTGCGCGCGCATGCAAGCGGTCTCCAGAACATCAGCCAGGAGGCGTATACATTTCTGAAGCTGCTGGAAGAATGGGAAGGGCTGGTGGCAATGAACTGTAGACAAATTTTATAAAGTTAGAATCAACTTGAACCCCCTCTGGATCCATTAATGACCCATCAACTAAGAATTCAATACTCTCTCCCATATAATATCCGAGCAATGAACCCCAAGGTGGGCACTGTAGCACTGCACTGTCCTCCTGTTGTTCATTGATTTGCTTGAGCGGGCCCAGTAACATCTTCATCATAAGACTTGTTGTTACTGTGTTTGGCATATTGAATATGTCATGCATAGCTTGTCACGGGTAGCTTGCCAGGCTTTGCCGTGCGGGCAAGATACTCTTGGTAGCTTGCTGGGCTCTCCGAGAGGGCCAGAGGAATCGAACCCGGCTCTGCCAGGCAGGCTGCGTGCAAGGCAAACGCCTTACCGCTGTGCTATCACTCTAGCCTAGGAGGGCAGCCTGGAAAAAAATCCCCAGAAGACCAACTTTGAGGAAACACGTGGCATGTATTTTCCACCTTGTGTGTAAGATAATATGTTTTACAACACTAATTACTAGTAGCTATTTATATTACAAATAGCTCCGTTCATTATTTGGGTAGCGCTGCTAATTATTTAAATCCACAAATTAACTTGGATTTCTTAATCAGGTTTAAGATTTTGGCTATTGATTGACTTCTTCTGACCTGGAGTCACTAGAGAAGAGTGAGCAGCATTTAAACGTTTTCATATCACCAGCATTTAGTGCTTAAGTTCCTGCCTTTATTAAGGTATATATGTCTTTTGTCTGTTTTAAGAGGTGGGCAAACAGAATGCATTAATATTCAACATTCATTTACCAAATGTTCATTGAGCTTCTTACCAAGAAAGCAAAGGATTAAAATGAATTGCTATCTAACTTTACATAGCCACTAAGTACATAAAAAAATACCTACAACTTTTACCATTGAGAAATTCTTAATAAGGAAGTCTTGCTTATAGCTATTTTAGAATAGTTTGCATATGTTGAATGGAGACATAATACATATCAAATAATTAGAAAAGATAAAAAGGTCAATAGTTAATTTTTTATTTTCTCACTCCTTGAATAAACAATTAGATGATGTTTACAAAATATGTCTCTAATGAGAAAAACAGATTAAAAATTGTGGCATATTCATTTTTGTACTAAAAAAACCTTTCACACCTTTGTCTTGAAATTCTTAAACTCCTCAGCTACAACTAATTCACAATATCATGTGAGAGAAAAATTGTATTTTACTCATATGAGAAATGAAGCTACAATAACCCATGTGGTGAATTTTTGTATTGGAAAATAGATCATATATAGTTATAAAATTCTCTTGGAAGGAGCATGCCTAGCCTTTCTTCCTCATTTTAATTTGACTTTTAGCATCTAGTTCATTCTGCTAGGGTATACCAATTCACTTAATCACTTAATCACTTAATCCCCGTTATTCATCGATTTATTCGAGCGGGTGCCAGTAACGTCTCCATTCATCCCGGTTGCGTGCTAGCGTAGCCCAATGGTATCTGTTCGTTCTAGGAACATGCAGAGCCTCAAACCGATCATTTAGGGTCTTGACGAAGAAGTCTGACCATCTTATAGGTGGGCGTCCACGTGATCTTTTGATGTCCCGTGGAATCCAATCAGTAATGGCTCTAGTCCAGCGGTTGTCTGTAAACCTCATTACGTGTCCAGCCCATCTGATTTTTGATGTCTTGGCAAATGAGACAGCGTCCCTGATTCTTGAGCGTTGACGAAGATCAGAACTCCGGATTCTATCTCTCATTTGAGTGAATCATGATATTCCAAGCATAGTTCTTTCGATTCCTCTTTGAGAGACCCGAATAGCGTTCTCATCCTGTTTTCGTAGGGTCCAGGTCTCTGAGGCATATGTTAATGCAGGAAGAATAGTGGAATCAAAGAGATGTGCTCGTAGCTGGAGGTTCTTTGTCCTTTTAGTTATTTCTTCAATGCTCTTGAAGGCATTCCAAGCCGCTCTCTTTCCTCCTGCGTAACTCAGGTGCCAGGTCATTCATCATGTTGATTTCTCGACCTAGGTATATACAACTGTTGCATTCGGAGATGGTGGTTCCGCTGAGAGCAAATGGAGCGTCAGGAACAAGGCTGTTTCTCATAAACATTGTCTTCGTAAGATTCAGCTGTAGTCCGACCTTTCCACATTCACGGTCAAAGTCGTTCAGCATTTGTGCCGCTTGGTTGATGTTTGGTGTTATTAGAACGATGTCATCAGCAAAGCGGAGGTGGTGTAGTTGCCGACCATCTATCTTCGCTCCCATGTTTTCCCATTCCAGTCGTCGCATGATGTTCTCGAGGGTGGCACTGAAGAGTTTTGGTGAAATGGTATCACCCTGCCGAACCCCTCTCTTGATATGGATGACTACTTCTTTGTAGAATGGTGAGATCTTGGTAGTGAATCCGCAATAGAGCTCACGAAGGATCCTGA